TATTTTTTATCATTTTGCAACATGGCTACAACCTTATCCCAGCCAGATCCAATCATTTCCCTTCAAAATCAGCTCATATCAACTAAGCTCAATGAGAACAATTTCTTGGTTTGGGAACAACAGATTCTTGTCACAATCAGAGGCTATGATCTCCTAGGGTTCTTAACCGGAGATACTCCCACACCAGACAAGCTCACTCGTGACCCCACAAATGGGGAACTCACTGTCAACAAAGCTTATTTGCACTGGGTAAGGCAGGACCAGCTTATAGCATGGCTATTATCATCTCTCTCTGAAAGTATTCTGACAACCACTGTTGGCTTAAACACATCAAAAGAGATATGGGAGTGCTTGAAGAAAAGTTTCTCAAGTCATAGCCTTGCTAGACAAATGCCGCTCAAACTAGAACTTCAAACTCTGAAAAAGGGAAATTTGAAGGTAAGGGAGTACTTCAACAAGATCAAGAGCATATGTGATCTGCTAGCTGCTGCAGGTCAGAAAATTGAAGAAAATGACCAGATCCTTCATCTTCTCTCTGGTCTAGGTCAAGAATATAACCCAGTTGTGGTTAACTTGACTTCCAGAAATGAAAAGTGCTCACTTATGGAAGCTTACTCAGTTTTATTGAGCTTTGAGAGCAGAATGGAAAGTCTTGAAACTGGAAATGAAGGAGATTCATCCTTCTTGGCAGCAAATCTTGCTACTCATACTCAAGGAAGGGGAAGAGGCTATGGATCTTACAGAGGCAGAGGTGCAAATCAAAACACTGCATCAAGAGGAAGGAGCTCAGGAAGAATGAACTCTTATAGAGGAAGAGGAGCTAGAGGTGGTTTTCTAAACACCAACCGACCTAGATGTCAAATCTGCAACTACAACAACCACACAGCCAAAGAGTGTTATTTTCGGTTTGATGCCAATTTTGTTTCCAGAAACCAAAACCAACTTGGAGGAGGATCAGACAACAATGGCAACAACAACCTTGCAGCTCATGTGGCTAGTTTTGGTCATCAAGAAACTGAAACAGGCCAAGACCTTTACTGGTTCCCTAATTCTGGTGCTACTCACCATCTCACTCATGATCTCAGGAATTTAAGCATGGCTAGTGAATATAATAGAACTGAGAGAGTTCACACTGCCAATGGGACAGGTATGGATATTGCTCACATTGGTAATGCTTTGATAAATTGCCCTACTTCTTCCACTTCTCATACTTTTATTCTTAATAGCCTTATGCATGTTCCTCATATTACAAAGAACCTCCTCAGTGTCTCAAAATTTGCTCAAGACAATGATGTCTTTTTTGAGTTTCATCCTACTTTGTGTTTTGTGAAGGATCTCAAGACAGGAGCACCACTTCTTCAAGGCACACTTAAAGATGGCTTATATTGCTTCCAGCTTTTTACTGATTCAGTACCTCAGCCTTGTTCTTCTTTTTTTATCTTCTTCTGGTTGCAATGTTATTCAATCAAATCATGTAGCTGATCTTAATCTATGGCACAAACGATTTGGACATGCCTCATTTGATCTTGTTAAAACTGCCTTGAAACACTGTCATATTCCCTTCAATGTTGATGTAGCTGCAGATGTTATGTGTGATGTATGTTTACAGTCCAAATCTCATAAATTGCCTTTTAATGATGCTGATGATAAAAATTATGCTCCTTTTGACTTGATACATTCTGACTTATGGGGGCCAGCTCCTGTTGTTTCTCATTTGGGCTATAGATATTATGTTAGCTTTATAGATCACAAAACAAGGTTTGTTTGGTTTTATCTCTTAAAGAACAAATCAGACACCAAAAGAGCCTTTCTTCATTTTGCTGCTTTGGTCAAAAACCAATTTCATGCTACCATTAAAGCCTTTAAATGTGATGGTGGTGGAGAATTCCAAGCTCTTAAACCTGTGTTTTCTGAAATGGGTGTCATTTCTAGAATTTCTTGCCCATATACTCCAGAACAAAATGGGTTATCTGAAAGAAAACATAGGCATATTGTTCAAGTTGGTTTGTCTCTCTTATCTCAGTCCAACTTGCCTTACAAATACTGGGATGAAGCTTTTGCTACTTCAGTCTTTCTCATTAATAGAACCCCAACCAAACTCCTTCATTACATTTCACCATTTCAGGCCTTATATAATCAAACCCCAGACTACACCTTCCTTAAGTGTTTTGGTTGTTTGTGTTACTCATTATTCAAACCATATAACAAACACAAGCTCCAACCCAAAAGCCTCCCTTCTGTTTTCATTGGATATAGCCCTCATCACAAGGGATATAAAGTCCTCTTGCCTAGCAACAAAATCATCATCACAAGACACATCATTTTTAATGAGCAGATTTTTCCTCTTCATGAACATTCTTTCCCTAATCCTGAGACACCTATAACCATTTCTCCCACATCAATGCACCCCTCAACTTCTCAGTACATTCCACAGTTTGAACATTCTCAACTACATTCTCCACCTACATCACCTCAGACTATTGAACTTTTCAGTCCCCATAATAGTTCTCAACCTTCTCCTCATACATCCACTCCTCATACTCCTAACACTCCAACTCATTCTTCTTCCCATCACAGCTCTCATTCAACACCATCTCATCACAGCAGCAACTCTCCTCATTCCTCAATTCCCGTTAGGCAAATTATCATTGACTTACCTATTGAGAAAAATGTTGCACCTAACATCTCTGAAACAGGTTTCCATTATATGGTTACTAGATCAAAATCAGGAATCACTAAGCCAAGAGTATTCTCATCTCACTTGGTCTCATCTCAAGAACCAACCACTGTTGCTCAAGCCTTATCCCATCATGATTGGCATTTAGCAATGCAAGAAGAATTTCAGGCACTTATGAAGAATCACACTTGGGATTTAGTCCCTCAGCCTCCTCATCACAATGTCATAGGCTCCAAATGGGTCTTTAAATTAAAGACCAATCCTGATGGTTCTATCTCTAGACACAAAGCCAGATTAGTGGCTAAGGGGTTCAACCAAGATGCTAGCATTGATTACTCAAAGACATTCAGCTCTGTGGTCAAACCAACCACCATCAGAATAATTCTTTCTCTTGCAGTTTCTCTAAACTGGAAAATCCATCAAATAGATGTGGATATTGCCTTTCTCAATGGAGATTTAGACAGAGACATTTACATGGTACAACCTCAAGGCTTTGAGGTTACTTCATCTCAGCCTCTTGTCTGCAAACTCAGAAAATCTCTTTATGGATTAAAACAACCATCCAGATCATGGTCCTCTAAGTTGAGCTCTATTCTTCTCCAACTTGGTTTTTCCTCCTCCAAGGCAGACACTTCAATCTATTACAAGCATGGCTCCAGCTCTTCAATCTTTATACTTGCTTATGTTGATGATATCTTGATTACAGCAAGTGACCCTCAGCTCATTCAATCTACCATCAAATCTCTTTCCACTATTTTCTCCATTAAAGACCTTGGTTCTCTACACTTCTTCTTAGGAGTTCAAGTTTCATCAACACCTGAGGGTCTTCTCTTGTCTCAATCCACCTACATTGATGAAATTTTAGACAGGGCTGGAATGAAGGGGGCCAAGGGTATAAGCACACCTATGGTTAGTCATCCACCCTTGTCTAAAAATGATGGATACCCCATGCAAAATGGACAGCTCTACAGACAAATATTAGGAGCACTTCAATATCTCACTCTTACTAGACCAGATATTACCTTTAGTGTGAACAAGGTTTGTCAGTTTATGCATACTCCATTGGATAAGCATTGGAAAGCTGTAAAAAGAATCTTGAGATATTTGGCTGCAACAAAAGATCATGGCTTGAAGATAAACAGAAGCTCAAACTTCAACATAAAGGCCTTTACATATGCTGATTGGGGTTCAGATGTTGATGACAGAAAATCTACTAGTGGACTATGTGTTTATATGGGAAACAACCTAGTGTCTTGGAGTGCTAAAAAGCAGGGAATCGTCTCAAGATCTTCCACTGAGGCTGAGTATAGAAGTGTGGCTCAAGCAGCTTGTGAAGTGTTAGGGATGCATTCTTTATTTGATGAACTGAAGATAAAATTTAGAAGGCCTAGTGTAATTTGGGTTGACAATAGGGGTGCAGTTTGCTTAGCTGGAAACCTAGTCAATCATTCTAGGACCAAGCATTTTGAACTAGACCTTCATTTTATAAGAGAGAAAGTGGAAAAGAAGGTGATTGCAGTCCAACACTTGCCAGCAAGTGAGCAGATAGCTGATATATTCACAAAAGCTGTTACTGGGCAATTCTTTGCCTACTTGAAAGATAAATTGATGTTAGCTCCAAGGAGAAGCAAAGAATTGAAGGGGAGTATTAGGATGACAGCTCACTCGAGCCATGCCACAACTGACGTGGTGCATGGCAGTGCATGAAGACAAAAACGCAGAAATGGCCAAAAACTAAGCTAACCCTATCATGGATTGTGTGGTTGAGATTAAATGTAGAAAATAGGCTCTCCCATACTTGTTGAGATTGTAGCCGTCATATATATAGGTTCTGTAGGTT